GTCTGTTTTTGTGCCAGTACCATACTGTCTTGATGATTACAGCTTTGTAATAGAGCTTGAAGTCCAGAATTGTGATGCCACCAGCTTTCCTTTTCTTTTTCAACATTCCTCTGGTTATTCGGGGTCTTTTCTGGTTCCATACAAATTTTAGGATTATTTGTTCCATTTCTTTGAAAAAAGTTGATTGATTTCCTTTTTGTTTACAGATAGAACTTTACTTCCTTTCTGGTTTAGAGATTTGGGGATTACCCACAATGGTGCTGGTGACAAGAAGTCAAATATTTTTTACTCTTTCATTGCATATCCCTAAGGTTGGATAAATAAAACTTTCGTTTTCATGTGTCATATCACTGTAGAGGGAAAGAATTATTTGATACACCAAATTGTCATGTCCTACAGAGCCCTACATACACTATGACATGACCCTCATCTTCCTCTTCTAACTCCCTATGTCTTACTTACTTTGCTCTGGCTATTGTCCTCTTCGCTCCTTGAAGTTACCATATTCCTTACCACTTCAGAGCCTCATATGTGCTGAGACGGTTTCCCTAATCTCTTAATCTTCATATTTCCAAATCTCACACAGTACCAAGTATATAGAAGGCAATCAGAAGATGCTTAGTAAATGGATGAATGTATAAATGGATAAATAAATAAATGGATCTCATGAAATACTCAATAGATATTATATGTTCATTGGTTCTCTAAGATAAAACAGAGAAGGCTGTCATGATGAAATTGAGCAGATTATCAGTGGGAATGTGTGATTCCACTGAGAATACCCAGGTTAACACTGAGAAATTCATGCTTTTCATAAATCTTACATTGGGGCCTAAAAGAATGACCTAATATCCCTTAAGTCAGTCTTTTAATGAAATCTGAAATTTTATTCTGTAAGTTTTTAGGTCTGTAAACTTAGTTGTTTATATTAAAAACATATGTAGGGATACCATCATCTTCTTCTTACAATTACCTTAACTGGCACAATTTGCATTGTTTTACATGATAAATGAAAATACATGGATATTTTATGTTCTGAGAATTAATAAGCTTCCATGAAAGATGTTTTATTTAACAAGAGTAATAATTTGAACATAGAACAAGTACTCTATAATAATAGATTAGCATTAGGTTAATTGGTCTTGATGCTTGACTTTATAATTGGTTGTATTTCAACATCAATTATTTTATTACTTGCTCAGTGTATTGTATGTATGTTTGTATATACCATATATATAGTGGAACTGATACACTGCAATTATTTTGGATTAGAGATTGTTGGTTTAACTATCAGCCAAAGCTAATAATTCTTGCTTCTTTTTCTGATTTATTATTACCTTTTGAGTAATAAAAGGCAATGAGATAGTATGGATAGCAAACCAGCCACTCATTTGGTAGTCAAGAGGGCTGAGGCCTAATCTCAGCTCAGTCATCAAATAACTGTGTGATTGTGGACTTGAATATTCCCATAAATTTGTAGATGTTGGACAAGGTAATCCCTAAGAGTACTTTTATTTTAAAATAAAAATGAATGAAATGTATGAAATTATAGTTATGTATCACTATTTAAGTAGGTGCATTACATAAAAGAGAAAAGAATGGATCAATCCAAATAGGTGGGTGTTGTCAATAAACTTATTAGAGAATCTGGAGGGTTTCAGTCTTATATAAAAACTTAGGACTGTAGAGAGTAGATCATTGTAAGATTAATGCTGTGGAACACATATGATGAACCAACAAACAAAAATTCATATCCACTCAGTTTTATAAGTCCCCTCTTCACAAACCAGAAAGCCAAATATGTTCTCTGTGTGTGTGTGCATGTGAGCAAAAAGAAGCTGGGTCTATGTATTTCAAAGGAAATTAACTTAGAAGCATGATAACCAAGAAAGCTTATTCAGCTCCTTCTTATCTCTAACCATATAAGGAATTACCTGCTGGGCTTACTATCCAATTTTATCTGTCCAATTAATCCAATTTTGTAGATCCTCACCATCATGGAATTTTCCTGAAAGTTGGATGTGCAATGATCATCATCCTCTTTGTAACAGTAATTGTGCTGAGCATTTTGGGTAAGTAATTATGAAAATTATTCATTTATCCTGAAGCATTTTTCTCTAATGACCTGTTGTAATTGTGTTTGCTGTTCAAGTGGTTCTTGAACAATACAGGACAACTTCACAAAATGTATGAAATTTGAAAAAATTAAAATTAGAGATATTTCCATAGAACTTCAGCATGTGATGTCATTATGGATTCAAATGAACTGATAAAGGAAAGAGAAGTCAGGACTATGTTTATATTTTATGGTCAAAATCACACAATGCAGTTTGATAGTGAGCTAAATATAAGCTTCTCTAAAACTACATTCAGATGAAAAGAAATGAAATTATGTAGTATATTTCTGTGTAAGTTTATTCATATTAGCTACTACTGGACACTATCAATCTTGTATCAATAGGTGAGAAACGTGCCTACAATTAATCAGCTAAATGCAGCATTTAAAAATTGTACTCATGTACTTTGGACATAACAGCATAATCCAATATTCAGATAGCAAACATTTTAATTATTGAATAAATGCTTGGAGAAAAGTTCTTCACATATATCTATAGAACAAAGGTCATATACAGATTGTATATATTCCAAGGAATTCAGGTTTCCAGATGAAACCCTAGAACAGGCCAATGCATACCTGCTTATGTCAAAGAACCCTTGTGAATGATATTAGCAGTTATGAATGGCATTGTGAGAATGCAAGCTGGTGGAGCCACCCTGGAAAACAGTATGGAGGTTCCTCAAAAAGTTGAAAATAGAGCTACCCTATGACCCAGCAATTGCACTACTGGGTATTTACCCCAAAGATACAAATGTAGGGATCCGAAGGGGTATGTGCACCGCAATGTTTATAGCAGCAATGTCCGCAATAGCCAAACTATGGAAAGAGCCTAGATGTCCATCAACAGATGAATGGATAAAGAAGATGTGGTATATATATACAATGGAATTTTAGGCAGCCATCAAAAAAATGAAATCTTGCCATTTGCAATGACATGGATAGAACTAGAGGGTATTATGCTAAGCGAAATAAGTCAATCAGAGAAAGACAATTATCATATGATTCCACTGATATGTGGAATTTGAGAAACAAGGTGAAGGGAGGGAAAAGTGAAACAAGATGAAATCCGAGAAGGAGACAAACCATAAGAGACTCTTAATCTCAGGAAACAAACTGAGGGTTGCTGGAGTAGAGGAGGGTGGGAGGGATGGGGTGGCTGGGTGATGGACATTGGGGAAGGTATGTGCTATGGTGAGCGCTGTGAATTGTGTAAGACTGATGAATCACAAACCTGTACCCCTGAAACAAATAATGCATTATATGTTAATTTAAAAATTAATTAATTAATTTTAAAAATATGAATGGCATTGGAAGTTACAAATAAATAGGCACTGTGGTAGAATTCTAGAACTAGAAAGAGCTAGAAGTCCAGGTCAAACCTCTAGTTGAGATGAACACCCTAAGCCCCAGAAAGATAAGTTATTTGACTAGTTTAACATAACCTATTGTCTAATTGCAGCTATAAAATTAAGGGAGAGGGAAGCAAAATTAATTAGAATGAAAAATCTCTTCTATATATTTTTTGTTAAGGTAATAGATTTGTTTGTTACTAAAATGACAGTTTTTTAATAAAATATATTTGTTTGTCACTAATACATCCATTACCAAAATACATTTTAAAGATTCAATTGCCTAATACACCCTATTTTGAAATTAAAAGTTACCAAAGGTAATTTCAGTTAAAATTATAAAAAAAGATACTTTCCTCTTTGGAGAAAAAGTACTCTGGGCTCACACAACCCTTCTATATGCAGCATTTACGTGCAGAATCTTGAAAGAAACAGAATTATGAAACAAACCAAAGCATATAAAATCTTCCCCCTGAATCAGGTGACACTGGATATAATTTAACAATATCTCACTAAGCACAAACTATCCAAATGAAGCTTATGTCCACAGCTGGCTATTTTGTGTTTATTAAAATGAATATGAAAACTCCAGGAGAAAAATTAGGCGAATATCCCACTGGTCCCAGATCATATTTTTTTTCATTTTTGCTGAAGTTGACATTAATAAAATTAACAAGAATGCAAAGGAAAGTTCAAATCTTGGAAAAATAGTGTTGTTTTTCCCCCTTAAATTTTTAATTATTTAACTTACTATAGAATTTCTACATTATTGAACTTTAGAGAGTCACTAGAACCCAATGGTTTTATGCTTTTTTATTTAATTAGGAAAATCTGTTTCTTCTTTCATCAGTTACCCAGTTCAAATCTGCAAGACATAATACAGTGGAAAATGAATCAAAAGAGAAATTCTGTACTGGGGAAAATAAATCTAGAACAATCACCTCAACAGGTAACATTATTTTATATTGTCTGATTCCTAAGTAACCAGTCATGTACAGTAGCATTGGTTTTACTGTAATATATCTGAAAAGAGAGATTCCTCTACCACTATAGAGGGATGGTTTAGATCGTTGTTTTTTATGGACCCATTACAGTCCATGACAAAAATATTCAACGATCCAAGGCAAATGAAAAAAAATGAGCTTATAAAGAGTTCTAGATTTTTGAAAAGGTATTTCATTGAAATAATTGCATTTTATTATTTTTATTTCTATTGGGGCATGTGCAAGTGCAGAATATAGTCAGAATATTTTCATTCTTAAAGTTCATGATTATACTATTTTTTTTTCTTACCAGGTAATGTTATTACATGCAAAACAATTGTAAATGGTAATCTTATGTTAATCTTTCTCTTGCTCTCTCATATTCGCACACTTTTAAAAGTCAAGAAAACAATTATTTGGCCTTTCTCCTCTCTTTTTTTCCCAGTGGCTTTTATTACATTTTTAAATCTGTTAATTTAGTTCTTAATTCCATATGAAAAACTATATACCATTCTTCTTTTGAACATCCAGGTGTAATTCTATTAGAAAGACTTACCAGCCCATAATGTAGAGTACATACAAATTCTGGGAATTCATTAAAACATTAAATTGGATTTGATATTTCCAAGCCCCCTTGAGCACATTCTAAAACCTACCTGATACAACATCTGTTCATTTTTTTCAACTTGTGTGACTATGAGGGCAAATTTTGTGAGACATTATCCCCAAAGCAAAAGCGTTGCAGTGTATTGTACCTACTACAGAGGTGGTAGTAGTGGTATTAAATAAAACTCTAGCTTTAAGTTCTGTCAAGCTGGGTTTTTTTTAAAGATTTTATTTATCTATTTGTCAGAGAGAGAGAGCTCAAACAAGCAGGGGGAGCGACAGGCAGAGGGAGAGAATCCTCAAGCGGACTCCAAGCAGAGCTGGACCCAGGGCTCGATCTCACGATCCTGAGATCATGACCTGAGCTGAAACCAGGAGTCCGAGGCTTAACCGACTGAGCCACCTAGGCACCCCCAATCAGAGTTTTCAATCCTAAGAGCCTGTTAGCTCTTGATAGTGTCCTATTATCTGATCTTTTTTTACTTATTCTTTTATTTTTTAAATAATTTAAAACATTATTATTTATGATACATATGATTTTTTAAATACCTAAAGTCTTTCATGACCACATCTGCTGTTTGTATTTCCTGCTATGTTGCATGTTTTTAAAAGTATTTGGTATATTTTTACTTTAATTTGAATGATTTCAGTTGATGGAATTGCTAAAAAAATAAAGATATTTTCTTGCAAAAATTATTTACATTTTCATCTGCAGGGAGGCAATGAGGAGCTAATGATTGGATGACTTGAGGCACTTTTGAAGACCCTGAACTAATCAGTCTCACTGACTCACTCCATCACCTTTTGGTGAATCCAAGGTTTAGTCTTATGACCCTAGCACTGATATAAATCATTAGCCTTGAGGGGAACCTTGCCTTATGAACTCACTTATGGAAACACTTCCCCATTCCACCTCCAGCTAAGTACCTCCCTTTAGCTATTTCCCTTATTTCTTACAAGCTAAGCAATATTTTTTAATCTAATTCTTTTAGGATCTAATTATCTTATAGCAAAACTATCTTCAGAAGAGAGTTTTTTCAACAGTGTGCCCTAACACTGGTATGTATTAAGGTTCTTGAGCTATAAAGATCCAGGTGGTTAATTGGTAGACTGTAGACTTTATTTATCTTGCTATACTTTAGAAATTTTTTTTAATATTCCATGATACAAAAATGGTTGGTACTATCTAGTCAAAGTAGCTACTATCAGAAATATAGAAGTGAAAATATAGTAGTTTCTTAGTAAATATGTTCTTGAAAGTCTCGGTTGCATTGTTCCTGGGTCTTTAGTTATAATTACAGCATGTCTTTGGCATTATTGTCTGGAAAGGTTTGGATTTGGTTGTATTATATCAATCTAAAGAAGAACTGTACAAACGAGACAAGTGTGTGGACTTAATATTGAAAGCAAGAACAAAGGTCTTTTGAATGTACGTTGCTCACCTTACGCTTTTATTTTTACCCGTATGTTTGCCATTTCTGATGTTGTTCTTTCTTCAGTATCAAAGTTTCCATTTATAAACATTTCCCATCAGCCTGAAGAACTTCCTTTAACATTCATTGTACTGACTATTTGATAATGAATCCTTTTAGTTTTCTTTTATCTGAAAGTGTCTTAAATTTGCCATGATTTTAAAAAGATATTTTCATTGGATATAGAATATTTTGTTGACAGTTATTTCTTTCCCTTAAACAATTTTTTTAAGTTTTTATTTAAATTCCGGTTAGTCAAAGTACAGTGTAGTATTAGTTTTGGGTATACAATACAGTGATTTAACAATTCCATACAGTACCCGGTGCTTTATTCTCTATCACCTACTTCGCTCATCCCCCTACCCACCTCCCTTCTGGTAACCATCAGTTTGTCCTCTATAGTTAAGAGTCTGTTTCTTAGTTCCCTTCAACAATTTAAAGATATTTTTCACTATATTCTGTCCCCCCATAATTCATGATGAGAATGAGGGTTTTTTTAAATAATCATATCCCTGTAAATGGCATGCAATTTTTCTCTGCTTTCAAGATTTTTCTCTATCTTTGGTTTTAAGCAGTTTATTTCATTTTTACATATAATTATCTTCATATTTATCCTGCTTAGGGTTTGATAAGATTCTTGAAAGTATAAATTTATAAATTTAAATAATTTGGAGAAATTTTAGTTGTTATCCTTTTTTTCCCTTATTTTCTCTTTCCTCTGGTTCTAGGACTTCAATTTCTTTCCTTTTTCCCTGTATTTTTTAAGAGATTTTATTTATTTATTTGTCGGAGAGAGAGAGCACAAGCAGGGGGAGCAGCAGGCAGAGGGAGAAGCAGGTCCCCCGCTGAGCAAGGAGCCCAATGTAGGACTCAATCCCAGGACCCTAGGATCATGACCTGAGCCAAAAGCAGATGCTTAACTGGCTGAGCCACCTAGACATCCCTAGGACTTCAATTTCATATATGTTAGATATTTTTATATTGCCCTGCAAATCTTTGAGACTCTACATTTTTTCCAACTTTTTTTCCCTGTTTTTTATATTGGACAATTTCAAGTTCACTAACCACTTTTTCTTCTAATTCTCTGCTTTTAAGCCAATCTAATGAAATTTTCATATCATGTATCTCTCAATTATAAATTTCATTTCTTAATGAAATTCAAAATTCTCTATTTCTTGGAAGTATCTTAATTGCAAGCATATTTCCTTTTATGTACTTGAGCGTAGTTAGAACAGCTGCTTTAGAATATTTGGGGATAATTCTAATATCTGCATCATTTCCTGTTGGGCTGCATTGAATCCCTTCTCTTTTGAATTGGTCATATTTTCCTGGTTTTTCTTACATTAAGTGATTTGAGATTGTGCCCTGGACATTGTGAAAGTGATGCTAAGAAATCTAAGGATTCTGATGTACTTCTCCAAAAAAATGTTGATTTTTCCTATTTTAGCAGGAAGTTGGTATGGTTGGACTCAAATTTTAATTTCTATCTTTTGGGCAGCAGCTCTAATCTCAAATCAGTTCTTTAATCCTTAGCTGGAATGTAACTTTCACATGCATCAGCCAGGAACTTGGAAAAATGTTAGCCATAGAACTTGGTGCACATCCTTTATGTTTTCTCATTTAAGGGATTCACCCTTCATTTTTAGCATCTGTGGTTGCCCCAAACTCTGTTCTCTGGTATTTTAGGCTAGAAAGACTGCAGATTGGCTATTGAAGTTTTATTCACTCTACATGGCCTCCAACATTGGTCTATCTTAAGCTAAAATGTGTAAAAATGAGAAACTTTTGCTTTGCTACACCTATTTCAAGTGTCACTTTCCCTCCAAAATCTGCCTGCTTTTGTTCACGATTCAGTGGCTTCAGGTCATTGTGTGTGAATAGGTATGTGTGTGTTTTTAAAGGATATTTATTTGAGGGGCGGTAAAGTTTTGGTATATACAGGATGCCTATGTGTCATCATTTAAATTTATTGGCAAATACTATAAATTAAAAACAACCTATTACAAGCACATTTTTGGATGTCAAGATCCTTTTGAGTATGGAAGGATCAATCTTTCTTTAGTTTGGGGGCCACCTATTGCACAATTTTTGCCAAAGAAGAATTATTCCAGTGTGATATATAATTCCCAAAATGTCTGGTTCATTGGTGGATCACTAATTAAAATCTCTAATTTCTACTTTTCCTTTAAAATTTTTATCTCCCTGAAACTTGGATGTTCACTTATTGATCTTAGTGCATGGTACATTGTTTTGCTGATAGAGAACATGATATATTTTTTTATTATGTTATGTTAATCACCATACATTACATCATTAGTTTTTTTTTTAAAGATTTTTTTATTTATTAATTTGAGACACAGAGATACAGAGAGAAAGAGAGCATGAGCAGTGGGAGAGGCAGAGGGAGAGGAAGAAGCAGATTCCCCGCTGAGTCAGGAGCCGGATGTGGGGCTTGATCCCAGGACCCTGGGATCATGACCTGAGCCGAAGGCAGACGCTTAACCATCTGAGCCACCCAGGCGCCCCTACATCATTAGTTTTTGATGTAGTGTTCCAGAACATGATATATTTTTATGTGAATAATTTAAACAGAGAAAGAAAGGAAGAAAGAATGAATATACGCATGGTCGCAAGTCTGTTAATTTTTATTTTTTCCAAATCCACCTTGAGAAAATCACATACTTTTGTCAAAAAAAGCTTTAGACAAGGGTGCCTGAGTGGTTCAGTTGGTTAAGCATCTGTCTTCAGCTCAGGTTGTGATCCCGGGGTCCTGGATTCCAGCCCTGTGTCAGGCTCCCTGCTCAGCAGGGGAGTCTGCTTCTCCCTATCCTTTTGCCCTGCTTGTGCTCTCTCTCTCTCTCTCTTTCTCTCAAATAAATAAATAAAATCTAAAAAAAAAAGCTTTAGACCATAACTTAACAAATTTTGAGAGGCTTTCATCAGTATATGGTATTAGGGATACAGTTCTGAGTTTCTTTTAATTACTTACCTCTTTCCTTCCAGTTTCTTTCAACTTTTCCACTGTTCATAAATCATGCCCCTCTAAAAACTGGACGCTACATGGGGGAAAATGTTACTGGATTGCTGAAGATAAGAAATCTTGGGATGAAAGCAAAAATGACTGTGCCATGAAAAATTCACATCTCATGGTGATTCAAGACCTCATTGATATGGTGAGATATCAAACTTTTTTTTTTTATTTGAGAGAGAGTGAGAGAGAGAAAGAGCACAAGAGGGGGGAGCGGGAGAGGGAGAAGCAGACTCCCCTCCGAGCAGGGAGCCCGATGCGGGACTCGATCCCGGGACTCCAGGATCATGACCTGAGCCGAAGGCAGTCGCTTAACCAACTGAGCCGCCCAGGTGCCCCTGTGAGATATCAAACTTAGAGATTATAGCATCCTTCACATTTTCAATGCAGCTGTTGTGCTACATATTTGAAAATTTCTTTTTTTTTTTAAGATTATTTATTTATTTATTTGTCAGGGAGAGAGCACAAGCAGGGGGAACGGCAGGCAGACGGGCAGAGCAGGCAAAGGGAGAAGCAAGCTCCGCACTCAGCAAGGAACCCCATGCAGGACTTGATCCCAGGACCCTGGGATCATGACCTGAGCCAAAGGCAGATGCTTAACTGACTGAGCCATTGAGGTGTCCCACATATTTGAAAATTTCTATGAAATAAATTTTAAACTTCATTGCTATTAACTACACAAATGTTGGTTGAATGAATCATTGAATTACAGGATTATTTTAGGCTTTTTGAGGGGGGCACTATGGATTGGATGAATTCATTTGGTATTGTACATATAAGTTCTTCTCCATAAGGGATCCCTACTGTTTACTAGATTCCATTTTAAAATGTACGACTGTTAATATCTTACCTCATCACTCATGTTTATTGCAATGTTCCTGAAGGCTACAGTCAGATACCATGGTAGCTAAAATTAAGATGATATTGAAAAAAAGGAAATACAGAATAGTCCTCATTAACATTTCATTCTCCCTTGAGCAGAATACTTCACTAACTCTGGTTTAATTTAAATTGAAATTTTACTACATGAATGTTGGACACTAAACATTTAATTAATAATGCCAATATAAATGTTAATTTGCAAGTATCAAATAAGGGTATTCAGCATGAGGATTAGTATATTGGAATGACAAGTTATGTCAAAGGTTCCATTTCTGAAAACCCAATGACCAGCAGTGTTTTACAACCCTGTTTGAGTCAAACCATCTGAGGGAACAGCACAGCTGTTGAAACTTCTGAAGAGAAAAAAAGTCTTCTGAGTTTCACAAGAATCCACCACAACAAGAAAAACAAAAACAGAAGTGAACTGTCTTCTTGCTGTAACCAGTGTAACCCCAAATCTCAAACTGTAAGACTATCAGATGCAGTTCAAATTGATTCAAATATGATCCAAATCCAGGATAGGTTAAGAGCTGAAGAGATCTGTTTTCTTCTCCAAGAGGTCAATTTTAAGACAAGAAAGGGGAAGCAGGTATCAACTGGAAAGCATCTCATGAGAATGCTCTGAAAGGGATAATCATTGCATGGAGAAATCGTGCAATAAAAGATTTCACTCAGAAACTCATCTATTTCCTGCTCACCATCAAAGGGAAGGATGCTGAAAGGCAGAAAAGACATGTCTTCTAGGCGATTGAAAAACCAGACTAGGGAGACCAGTAGACTAAGACAACATTTTTAAAATTTTTTTTATTTAAATTCAATTAAGTCAACATACAGTATATTATTAGTTTCAGGGATAGAATTTAGTGATTTATCAGTTGCATATAACACCCAGCGCTCATTACATCAAGTGCCCTCCTTAATGCCCATCACCCAGTTACCCATCCCCCCACCCACCTCCCCTCCAGCAACCCTGTTTGTTTAGAAACTTTCCTCTTCCTGTTTAGATTACCTCTCTCACATTTTTCCTAAACAAATGAATGGGCTACATGTAATCATTCTCTTTCATGGATAAATAAGAATCTGAAAGAAACCAGCATAGGATTTATGCATACATATTTCTGTTTCCAAACTTTTCCAAAAAAGACAAGTAAAACTCAGATAAAATATATATTATAGAAGAATAATTACTCCAAGAAACAGAGAATAATTTTCTAGCAAATACTTTTCCAGCTCTCAAATAAGTTAAGATAAAATGAAAAAAAGAGAATTATTAGTCCTAGAATTCCCATGTGTCACCATATGGCAAAAAAGAAAAGAAAGTAGAAAGAGGAAGGAGAAAGAGGAGGAGGAAGGGGAAGAAGAAGAAGAGAGTGAGAAAAAGAGGTATTTAAACAACAAAAACAGAAAGAAAAAAAAACAAAAACAAGGTTTATAGCTTTCATTCCATGATGCAAAGATCTTGAAGAAAAGTTACTACAACTTTCAAATGAGAAGGAGCGGCATTAGCTTTAAATTGCCAACTTGTTTCAAATCTATTGGAGAGTTAAGTTTGCAGAACCAAAATCTATGTTGAAACAGGTACCTGTGGGAGAGAGAAGACACATCCCCACTTACTTGGGACACACAAATCAGACACCAGACATCAGAAAGAAGAGTTCTGTCAGAGTAATTGAAAAATGAGTTAAGTCTGAGTGTAAGTGGGCAAAACAGTTCTCCTGAGCCCTGCAGAAACTGGGGAATTCTACAGTCCTTTGAAGGCTATTTTTTTTTTTTTTCTGGAAATGCCACTGGTTCTCAAGATAGGAAAGAACCATGAGAAAGTGTCCATTGTGGTGCAGACCTGGGAGAAGAAAACAGCAATGATGCAGCAGTGGCAAGGAATCCCACCTAGATCCTTGTCCCCTGTCTGCTCTCTGCACTATGCAGCAACAGCTTTCATGTGTGTGTTGGTGAGAAGGACAGGTGCCCTTAGGGAACTGGTGAAACATCACTGCAGGTGCGAAAGAGCATTAGGGACAAAAGATACTCCTGTGGGAGGGGCACCAATACACAACGGGACCACAGCTACAGGCAGGGTAGGGGAGGCAGAAGGGAGAAAGCATGGAGAAGACACAGGGATGAGAGGCTGCCTAACACTGAGGCACAATCAGAACAAGCAAGACCACCACCTTCGCTGCCTTTCACTGTCACGCTAACAAGTTTCAGATAAGAAGTCAAGAACACTGCTGGGAGAGGGACAGGGGAGGAAGAAGAATGTGCGCAGAGATCTTCTCTGAGGCATGGTGCAGAGGGGAACCAAAACACTCAGGTCAAGGAGACGTGTCTCTGGTAAACAAACAAACAAAAACCACAAAACACAAAACACGAGATATCATTACAGGATTTGAAACCTGTGGGGCATTGAGGGTAACCAGAGCAACGATAAATCGCAAACTCACCCCCATAATGATTAACTTAAACCTCACATTAAAGACCCAGGAGAAGGAACTCTGTGTTCATTCCCATCCACAAAACTATTTAACCCAGTCGCTACATGCTAGACAGCTTTCAACAATCAAGTACGAGGTAAAAAAAAAAAAAAAAAAGAAGAAGAAGAAGAAGAAACAAGACACTCCCAAGAACAAGGAGGACTATTGCACAATGATGAAGGCGTTGTTCAGTTTGCCAGGGCTGCCATAACAAAGTACCACAAGTTTAATGATTTAAGCAACAGAGATTAATTTCTTGTGGTTCTGAAGGCTGCAAGTCCAAGATCAAGGTATTGGCAGGTTTTGTTTCTCATGATGACTCTCTCCTTGGCTTTCAGCTGACCACCTTTTTACTGTGTCCTCACATGGTCTTTCTTCTGTGTACATGCATCTGTGTCTCTCTGTGTGTCCAAATTTTCTTATAAGGACACCAATCAGATTGAATTAAGACCCATTCTAATAGCCCTCCTTTAGCGTAATGACCTCTTTAAAGCCTCTCACTTCAAATGCAGTTATATTTTGAAGTACTGGCAGTTAAGACTGCGACATATGAATTTTGGAGAGACACAATTCAGTCCATAATATTCCACTCTCTAGCCCCTGAATCTCATAACGGGGGTCAATTATATATGTATATGCAACAAGGTTAACACTGATAGAACTAAAAAGGGAAATGGAGAAATTCACAATTACAGTTGGAGTTGTCAACACTCCTCTTTGAGTAAAACAAGTCCAATAAATAAATAATTAACCTGAACAATACTATCAACCAATTCAACCGAATTAATCTTACAGAAAACTGTATCCAACAAAAGCAGAATACACATTTTTTTTTTCAATACACCTGGAACTTCCATGAAGACAGACCATATTTGGAGACCTAATAAACTTTTAAAAATTACAAATACAGATAAGATATTATACAAAACATGTCTCAGACCATAACAAAATTAAACTGGAAGTTAGGAACAGAGTAGTATTTGGAAAATTCCCAAATATTTGAAAATTAAACAACACACTTCTAAATAATGTATGGGTCAAAGAAGAAGTGGTCAGAAGAAAATTTTAAAACTATATTATGAATTGAATGAAAACAACATTTAATGTCAAAATTCACAGGTTTCAGCTTAAGCAGAGCTTAGAGGGAAACTTACAACCCTGAGTGATTACATTTGAAAAGAAGATAATGTAGAATCAATCATCTAAGCTTCTCTTTAAAAAAAAAAAAAAAAGACTAGAAAAAGAGCAAACTAGACCCAAAGCAAGCAGAAAAATGGAAGATGTACATTACTAAATGTCAAGTCTTACAATAAAGCAAAATTAGTTTATATGGTGTAAAATTGGCAAAAGAGAGATATGTAGATCAGTGAAACTGAATCAAGATGCCAAAAATAGGCCTGCAAAATTTAGTCAACTGATTTTTCTGGCCATAGTGCCAAGATAACTCAATGGAAAAACATTATTCTCTCTCTTGTATGCCTAATGACTATTTATGTTCCTACAAACAGTTATGATATTTAGCATATGAGTTTGGCTGCAGGTGAGGGAGAACCAAACCCACTGTAGCTTATACAAGGTAGATGTGTACTTTGTTTATTGAATCTAAAACACTTTTAATTATAAGATGTAACAGTACACTTAAAAGCATCAGTACAATTAAAAAGCGAAAACAAAGCTCCCAATTAAACTGCCACAAGCTATAGATTGATGTTTCCAATTCCAAAGCATTAAAATAGGAGAAAAATCTGTCTATTCATATATGCAATAGGTCGTGTCACTCACACTGTGATCCATACAGCTATGGATTTCTGGTCTCATCAGTAGGGTACTGTCCGTGTCTACCTATTTCCGGTTGATTCACCACTATGTCCACATTCTAGCCATCAGAAAAGAGGGAAATGACGAATAGAAGGATATAACCCTATCTTTCTTTTATTAATTTTATTTTATTATGTTATGTTAGTCATCACACCTTACATCATTAGTTTTTGATGTAGTGTTCCATGATTCATTGTTTGCGTATAACACCCAGTGCTCCATTCAATACGTGCCCTCCTTAAAACCCATCACCGGGCTAACCCATTCCCCCGCCCTCCTCCCCTCTAAAA